TCTAATTTCATAATAAATTTAAGACTATTAAGAAAATATGCATTTAAAAGAAAGAAAAAAGAAATGAGGGAGAGAGAGTCCCACAAAAGAAAGCTCTGCTCATATATCATCAGACTTCTAAGGAAACCAAGTTAGAAGCCTCCCATTCTCTGCTGGTCTTGCTGCTTTTGCTCCTCTCAGACTCTTTGGGAGACAGAGATGTGGCAAGGATGCTCTGTATCTTACAACCTTTAAAAGCTACCCTTTGACACCTGTGCCCAAGGCCAAGTTTAGGGAATAGAAAGGAAAGCCGTTATGGAAGAACCTCAAAAAGTCACTACCCCATTTTTCACCTCCACCCATACCCCATATACACATGCATCCCTCATAAAAAGGGCACATCTTGGAAGCCAGAACCCATCATTTAAAACTCAAAGGCAATGATTTTTTTTCCAGAAAAAAAGAAACAAGCTCTGCACAGAACTCATATTGATTTTTATAGGCATATAAATTTGACACCTACATTAAACAATGCCATGTTCCCATGAATCCTTTCAGAGACCATCAAATGCTGTCCCTGTTACACATGACCATGCATCCATAGCAAACCAAAACCTCAAGAAGCAACCACAGCAAGGAACATACACTGCGTGCACCTCAAAAATAGTACTTACAGAGGTAACAGAGAAGTGATACAGAATGTATTTCTTCTCAGTTACAGCATCTGAAAGAGAAAGACAGAGGAGTTCCCATTATTAGGGGAAGCAGAGGAGCTGCAGAGTCATGCTCTTCTCTTCAGCTGGAATACCGCTGCCAACGGTTCTGTTCATCTGAGTCCTGTCCACTTTTGTCAAACTTCTATGGAGGTTCCCTGGACCACTTCCCCTGAACTCCCATGACACTCTGTGGCACCATTTTGCTGGCTCTTAAAAAGTTTTGACCTACATTGTAGATAACTACACACATGTTGTGTCTGTCCTGCTGGGCCATGAGTTCCTTGAGGGCAATGCTTATGTCTTATCCATCTTCATATCCCTTGCAATGTAGTGTGATAATAAATAGCAAATAAATATCCATACATACTAACTCCCTGCAGGGCAGGATTTTTATATATAAGCTTACAGACTATAAGCTTATTTGAGATATTTATATAGAAACCTTGCAATGGAGGAAACACACTACACAAATTGGATACTTCTCCCTTAATAGTAACCAAAACAGTATTTTACAAAGCTGTTAACAAAATATATTATTTGTTATTAATAGCGATATCCAGAGAAGAGACTAATTAAGCTAAACGCAATAACATCTGTTGCTTTGGTAGAGTCAATAACCTATAAGTTGAATATTTGAAGTCTATTTTAATGCACTGTGCTTGGCTAATAGAACTTTCAGAATGAGTTCTAACCCATTGATTCTAAGCTAGAGAAATAAACGACAATGATAATAGGGCTAGTGCCATATGGGGCAGTCTGTGATGACTGGTTTTCATGGAGAACCAGTCACAGTGCCATAAGAAAGCCTACCTTTAGATACACCATCATCCCAGTACAGCTCCCCCTGGGCTTCTCTCTTATAGTCCAAGGCGATAATGAGTCCCAGGGAATTCTTCCGGCTGTAAAAGAGCAATTCTCAGCATCGGAGAATGAAGAAGAGATTGGACAGACTATATGAAACAAGCCCCAGGGACAGATAACCCCAGAGTCCATCCCAGAAATTGAGTAGATATCAACACTGTGTGGAAACATGAGAGTTGGGTGTGGGCAGGCAGCAGAGGTTAGGAGTGAGTGGCATAAGAAGAAGGTGGAAGGAGGCAGTTCCACTGAAAACCATTTGGGCTGCGATGTAATACATACCACTAACGATCAGCACTTACTATATGCCAGGCACCCTTCCAAGTGTCCTACATAAAATTACCATTAATGTTAATCCATGTAACCCTCTTAGTAACACTACAAAGTTGGGCTATCATCATCCCCAGTTCACCCATAATAAGCAGAAGCACAGAGAAGTAAGCTACCCAAGGTAAAAACATAAAGTGTGTAGCAGGGTCAGGGCTTAAACCCAAACTGCCCAGACTGTCTCCAAGTCTGAGCTATTGACCTCCCAGCTATGCTGACTTTCACAGGGTAACCTTTATCTCCTATTTAACTTGCATTCTCCCACACATTTGGGTATCTACCTGAGGACAGTTTCTGGTCATAGGAAAGTCCTCATCAGTGATTATTTGGACTATTTCTCTAATCTGATTCAATCCAAAAGTGAAGGACTATGGAAATATAAAGGAATATTTACCTCCTACTAAATAAGGATTAAGATGTCAATTTTGGACCAACTTTGAAAGGAGAGGAGGAAGATTACTGCCAGGAGACTCTTCCCTTGGCAGATCCGCCCTTAGTCCTTTGCCTCTCTCATCATGCCCTGCCCCCTTAGAGCAGCAGGATGTCACACCTTAGAAGACTGATGAACTTACCTAGCCTCTGTGGTTACGTTTGGCTGCTGGGTGGGAAATATGTAGCCTCCTCGAAGGTGAAGTCCTATCCTATCACCTGGGAGTACCATGTCCACCCATTGTTTCCTCCATGGGATGGCCACTCCCTAATCAACAAAAGGAAGATAGATAAGATAGCAGGCTGTTGGGCTAGGAGAGATCTTAGAGATCATCTAGTTCAGTTGCCTCACTTTAAAGAAGAGAAAAATGAAGACCCCCAAAGTAACGTGACTTGCCCAAGGCATACAGGTAG